ACACACACAGAGAGAGAGAGAGAGAGAGAGAGAGAGAGAGAGAGAGAGATCCCACTCGTTGCGTTGTCGATCCTGCCATCGATCCTGCCGTCGATCCCCGCCTTCGGATGAGAGAGAGAGAGAGAGAGAGAGAGAGAGAGAGATCCCACTCGTTGCGTTGTCGATCCTGCCATCGATCCTGTCGTCGATCCCCGCCTTCGGATGAGAGAGAGAGAGAGAGAGAGAGAGAGAGAGAGAGAGAGAGACTGATCCCACTCGTTGCGTTGTCGATCCTGCCGTCGATTCCCGCCTTCGGAGGAGGGAGGGAGGGAGGGAGGGAGGGAGGGAGAGAGAGAGGGAGGGAGGGAGGGAGGGAGGGAGGGAGAGAGAGATAGAGAAGGGGGGAGAGAAAGAGTGTCATGGCAGACTGCGGCAACAGTCTGTCGTGAGGGGTCACAGCAGCCTTCAGAAACCGAAAAACAGCTCAGATTCAAAATGTGGTCTTCGAACAAACTCACATCAAGAAACCTCGTTCATATCCCGTCCCTTCACACCACCATAACCAAAACTCCCAAAACTTGACTACGCAATCCTTCTACCGGTTTCATCTGTTCACATGGAATCATCAGGAAGGTGCCCCCGAATGAGTGCTGATGCTGAAAAGAGAGGCCCGTGCCTTGCCTCTCAAATACTTATCCCTTATGCGCGTTGCGTTCTGAATAGGCAAAACTCCAATAAAATAGAATATAATATAAAAAAATAAATGTCCGACAAAATAAAGAAAGTAAAGGCACTGTGAGCTTGTTTCCCCAGACTGTCGCGTGCCGGGGATCTCCGGAAGGTCGTGCCGATACGTTCCGAAATGGGTCTCAAGCAACCCCGAAAAATATAATGCCAAAACTATTCCAAGAAAACAAATGTCAAATGAAAGCACACCATACATGCCAATTTGCAAAATCACCTCGTCCTATTCCTACTTGCCATACATTCGCTACCGACTGTCGGCAGGGAGTTACCACCTGCCAGATCTCTGGGCCGCACCCTAATGTCCAGTGTCCCCAGAGCTCAGCCGCTTCCACGCACAGGTTGGCGGATCGACCCTTACCGCGCCTCGTCGTTTTACCTGCAACATGGCCCACATCAAAGAGAGCTTTGTCCCTCCTAACCTCGGGGGTGTTTTTTCTTTACAAATTTCACTCTGAAACTGTCATAGTGCCCTGATGTTTTTTTTTTTGTCCTTTGTTTTTCTTTTTGTGTGATTTGTAGGTGCTTTAGGGTACGTCATGTGTCCTGTTGGGAATCTTGGGATCAAAAATGAAAAAGTTGGCATTTCGTTTGATTTGTTTGTAATAACCCTGTTCAGAAGTAGCCTGGGGCTCAGAACTCAGCCCCAGGCAACGCAGACCTGAGTTGGTCCGCACTGGGCTGTGTGACCAAGACATGCCCAGGCCTGAGTCTGTCGTGAATGGCTGTGTGACCGAACCCTGCACACAGGAAATTCAAGGGTCAAAGTCAACTGTCGAGTCAAAGGTACCGCACGCAGGCCCTTGGTTGGATACACTCACTTGTTGTGTGCAGGTACCCAGACAGCATCCAGGCCAAAGGGAAACGGTTTCAGACCAATCTGGGCCCTCGTTTGCATTGAGATCTGGACGGTTGAGGGATGCAGCATCCGGGGTCCAGACCCGGCGTCAACGCTACATAAGCACCGACTGCCTGGCTTTGACATTCATTCTGTCTTGCGTTGATGCTGACTTCACGCGTTGACTTGAACGCTGGCTCGACGCTTTTGGCATTGTGACTTGGCGAGGCGCTGCTAGTCCAGTATGGTGGCCGGCTTGCTCCTGTCGTCTTGGCATGCTGACGTGGCAGCTGCCATGTGTTGTCGCTGATGTGGCTGCTGCCACGTGTATCATTGGTTGACGTGGCTGCTGCCACGTGTTCTATGGCTGGGACTACATGATCGGCATTGCTGT